ACAGCATACAATTACAAGTTGGAACACCATACAGGAGGCCAAGTGGTAAATGCAGATGCCTTGAGCCACCTCCCCCTGGCAATACACCACCGGTGGTGCCGCCACTAGAAGAGTCTGTTCTCGTTTTAAACTTTCTAGACACCACTGACAATATTAGACTGTGGACACAAAAAGATCTTGTCCTGTCAAAACTAAAACAGCTGGTGGTGATGGGGGAAACAAAAGGGCCATCACAACCAGAATTGAAACCTTTTGGCACCCGGCGAGAGCACATCACCATACAGGACGACATGTGGGGAGCAAGAGAGATTGTCCTGAGCAAAGATACTGACTGAACTCCACCAGGGTCATCCAGGATTTTCCAAAATGAAGATGTTGGCAAGACGTTATGTCTGGTGGCCAGAATTGGATGCCAAAATAGCTGTGTTAGTGGGGTAGTGCCCAGAGTGCCACCAGCAGCTCCCCCACATTCATGGGAACGGCCAGGTAAACCCTAAACTTGGTTACACATCGACTACGCTGGTCCTTTCACAGCCTATATGTTTTTAGTCATTGTGGATGCCCATTCAAAGTGGTTGAATGTGCATAGAGTTCATTTGCCAAACATGAGGACAAGGATTGAAAAATTGTGAGCATCTTTTGCAATACACTGACTGTCAGAGATATTGGTCACAGAGAATGGGCCATCAATTACCAGCAGGGAATTCAAGTATTTCCTAAAGTAGAATGGCATTTGGCGTGCAAGGACAGCTCCCTACCATCCGTTGTCCAATGGTCTGTTCAAAGAGCTATCCAAACTTTGAAGGCAGGCTTAAAGAAACAGCCAACACTTTTACTCAATACCAAACTGTCCTGGTTCCTGTTTGATTATAGGACCACTCCTCACACAACGACAGGGATAGCTCCAAAAGTATTGCTAATGGGGAGAAAACTCCCCAACAAGTTAAACATGACCTTCCCGTTCCTGGGAGAGAGGGTGAAAGGGCATCAGGAACACCAAAGCCGGACACAAGACTCCTGTAAGCAAGAGAGATAGTTTACTTTAGGGGATGAAGTTTGGTGTCAAAACCATGAGAATGGCCCTGCGTGAATAAGAGACATGGAAACACGACGTCAGGTCCCGTGACGTACAAAGTTCAAGACGGAGAGACGGTCCTGAAATAAGGATGGGGACCACATGAAAGCTGTGGCCTGGAAAACGAAGCAGGAACAAAACATACCTGGCCCCTCAGATCATGTGGCAAAGCTATCAGAACCGCCTAGCATTGAAGAAACCTCTTAGGATGCGATCAACAGAACACGTTGCTATCTTGATGACATTATCATAGAATCCCTACAGAAACAGGCCATTTGGTCCAACAAATCAACACTGAGCCTCCGAAGAGAATCCCATCCAGACCCATCCCCTTTCCCTATCCCTGTAACCCTACATTTCCCATTGCTGATGCACCTAACCTATCCATCCCTTGACACTGAGGGCACTTTAGCTTGGCTAATCCACCTAGCTTGCATATCTTTGCACTGTGGGAGAAAACCGGAGCAGCTGGAGGAAACCCACGCAGACACGGGGAGAACGTGCAAACTCCACACAGACAGTTACCAGAGATTGGAATTAAACCCAGGTCCCTGGCGCTGTGAGGCAGCAGTGCTAACCGCTGAGCGACTGTGCCACCCATCAGAAGATGAATTTCAGCCAAGACACTCCAGGCACAAGAGGCAGGCTATGGTCTGGTACTTGCCACCTGTATCCAAGGCAGAGTCAAAGAAACTGGACTGGGTGCAAAAACACCCCAGGCGAAGCTACAAGAAAAAGAACAGGCCTATATCCCAAGGCTTAGAAGGATAGGGATGCAGTGATCTAATAGAATGAGTCCCCTAATTAGGGCTGTTAACCTGATCTAACCAGGGATCCCTGGCTAACAGACATAAACAGGAGTGGCAGGGGTTCTGTTCACTCCAGGGGCTGGCTCTGTGCGAGATTGGTCAGTGTCATATACTATGCATGCAAAAATTAAGAGTGACTTGGTGATGGGATACTTTCCTTTGTGGATTTATTTCAATAGGTTACTGATTAATCCTGTCTTATTGCTTATTAACAGGTTGGCACTAGAATATATTGCTTGAAAGAATTTTCTCGAATACACTGCCAGCACACTTAATAACTAACACCTTTACCAATTTGATTTGCCTAATTTAAATGTAAAGTCACTGATCATTCATGTAGTTCATTTGTTACAGGCCCAATTTACTTTTTGGCAGTGTTATCACTTTTACAGGGCCTGTAAACTACGCCTGTGAGTGACCTTTTCACTTTCATTTTTTTAAATCGCTACCCAGCCTGATCTATGTATTGCACAGGAGGCAAGGTCATCCCTTACTATTGTACTAATAGCATTGTTAATTAGGCTTTATTCTGAACCTTTTCCGCCATCTCAGTCAGATTACGATTATTGACATTCTGTGCATGTTATCCAGCATTCAGCATTAGTCACTCATTAATTTTTAGTGTCAGAAGTTTCAATTGTGGTATGTAGTTGTTCAATAGTGGTGCATTTTTCAAACTAGTAAGGTAATGCACCACCATGTTCCAAAAACTGCAAGTCTACTCATGTGCACCGCCCCCATGGTTTCGATGCAAGAATTATATCAATATTAATCATTTTCAACTCTCATTGGCCTACAGATTGTACACAACCAATACATGAATGAAGGTTCCTTGTACTTGTGGAAAATTGATGTCATCAATCAAATGTAAAATCTACTTAAACTGGAATACAAACTCAGGTATATGCCAAAAAATGCAAGTAAACTATATATCATGTAAAATGTCAATTTGGCTTTAAGACAGGTTGTGCAAATTTTTTCTTAATCAAAATCTTACAGTTAAGGCTATTCTGTCAACTCTGTTTGCAGAAAAAGGCATATTCCACAAATACATCTGCATCTTTTGTGAATTTGTAACTCACCTTTGTGTAGGCTGAGAATGGAAATACGGTGTCCCAGTATTAATAATTAACATTTTGATAAATAACACACTGGTGATCATTTGGGAAGCTCACCACACAGTCACAGACACACTAAGGCAGGGAACACCACCACATGCCTTCCCCAGTCAAAAAAAGTCTGAAGTGAAAATGTGAAGCAAAATGACATAAAGGAAAAAGAAAATTAGTATTACCAATAATCATAGAATTACAGAAATTGGATCAGTCTACAGCACTAAGTAACTGCATTTTTCTTACAATCCAATAATTTACAGGAATTTCTGTTCTGATTCTTAGACTTAGACAATGTGATATATTAGCAACAAGTTCAGATGTCATCTTAGACACCACGAACTACTGAAAGAAGAAAAACCTATACCAGTTCTTTGGGCCTCCTAAGTGAAATAAATTGATCTGATTCATTCATATTACACACATTTGAACAGTGCGAACCTCAAGTGATGGAATGCTTATTTTTGATATATAACTTGCGTGAGGTGTATTCTCTTTGGAGAGTAACTCTAAGGTCCTTGGCAAGTATCAGTATAGTTCAAATATTTTCAATTGCTGCTGCTGCTGCTGCTAATTGTTATAAACAATTCACAACCAACATAAAAATGGACAAGGAATATGAGTAGGCTACTTGGCCCTTCAAACCTGCTCTGCAATTCAGTAAGATCAAGGATTATTTGATTTTAACCTCAACTCTACTTTCCTGCACTTCGTGATATCCCCAAAAGGACTGTGGAAAACTAATTGACTACTTATCAAAACAAAGAGCCAACTGCAGACAAATTTGTGTTGCATTTCACAAACTCACAAATCCTAAAGGAACACTTTTGGAAATACAATTTGAAGCATGATGGAGCTGTGCTTCTGTCATTCTCTGTATCAACCGGTCTGGAAGGACAACAACAACCATCTGATGGATCTCCTTCTGAAAATTTTATTTGCATCCAAGCAACTTTGTGTTACTTCAATATGGGCATTTTCATTTGACACAACATTTCATTATTTTAAGGCATTTTCCAAATTCATTCATAACTCTGCTGTCGACAGAAAATATGAAATGAAGGATTAAAGTTTTGGGGATTGCTTTCTCATAAAACAATAAGGTCCCATAGAAGAGAATAGCACGTAAAAATTAAAGCACATGGGATTGGAGTGGTATCCTATAGATAGAGGACAGGTTGTTAGACAGGAAACAAAAATAGGGATAAACAGGACTTTTCGCAAGTAGCAGGCAGCGGCTGGAGGGTTACCAGAGGGATCAGTGCTTGGACCCCAGCTATTCACAATACATATTGATGACTTAAATGAGGGAACAACTTGTAATATCTCCAAGTTTGTAGATGACACAAAGCTGATTGGGAGGGTGAACTGTGAGTCAGATGCAGAGGTGCTTCACAGTGATTTAGACATGTTCAGTGACTGTACAAATGCACGACAGATGAAGGATAACGTGGATAAATGTTAGGTTCTTTGTGACATTCCAAGAAGGAGCAGAAGGCCAAGTGTTAAACAGTTGCTTTATTATAGAGATAGTTGCTCTACAGGCAAAGTTAGACTAAGATGTTTCCCACCCAAAATGGCTGATAACATCATTACATCATGTGATCGGATTCAAATTGATAGTCCATCATACTGAAACAAATACATATCCCTCCCCTTTTACATCAAAGATTCCGGCAATGAAACAATTCTCAGTATTTACAATGTCTTTTAATTCTCTTATGGAATGTTAGCATCGCTGACTGGCCCTAGTTGCCCTGGAGAGGTGGTGGTGAGCTGTCTTCATCAGAGGCTGCACTGAGGACATTACGAAGCATGGTAACGAAACGTCTGCGAAACAAGAAACCAGCTCGGCGAGCCAACCAACCTCAACAACTTCTTCCTTACTTATCATATAATGCCATTGTTAATCAAATTTCTGCCTTGGGTACTGCAGGAACAGAACTATTATTATTAAAGTGACACAACTTCCTATTATTGATAAATATGAAATCATGAGTAAAATTAGTTTTTGATTTGATTTTATTAAGTATTGACCTTCAAAAATTTTGTCCAGTAGGCAAAATAGTTTTTACACAGAACATATATTTAAAATACACAAATCCAACATTTAAACTTAATCTCTCGTACTCAATCTTTCAGCATTTCAAGTTTTAAAAAAGTCTTCTGTTCAAAACAAATGCTTCATTTTGTCTTTATGTATAAAAAATGATTAATGTGTTTTATGTTCTGTCAGTCAAATCATTTCCAGCAATTCAACTTTTCAGTTTTTACATATCAATTTTAACAGCATAGATACCAGCCTTCATCACAAACACTTATAAATATCTTCGGGCAACTGCAGTTTGTAACCTGAAAATTGAAGGAACCAAGTGGACCAGCAGTGAACTGTACAATCTCAAAATACTCAGGTTTATCCAGCAATGTCATACGACTCTAATCACCATTTGGATCCAAATTAGTTGCATCAAAACCCAGTTAATAGCGGTTATTCAAATTGTCAACGAGGTCTATGAATGTGTGTGTACACATATGCATGTGTGCACGTGTCTGCGCCATGCATGGAGCCAGAAACTAGCTGGCTGTGATGAGTGACATTATTAACTCATTTCAAGAATCATTCAACCTGGAAATAAGCAATGTTATTTTTTGGTAAAGACAACTGTTCAATTATTAAAAGGGTAAGCACTGGAAACTATTCAATGTAATATTCTAAATATTTCCAGTATCTCATGTTTTAAATCTTCATAACTAATTATATTTTCATCTTTTGTATCCTGTAGGAATCAATTCCACACTGTGCTTTTTTGCCCCCACAGGGCTGGCAGCTTTCAAATATCTTTCTCTTACCTCTTATAAATGAATCTGGACAGTGACTTTCAGTACATTGTCCAAGTACGATCCAAATAAAAGTACTTTCAGCCGGGGAAATTGGGCATCAACCAATAGCTGGAACCAACGCTGATATTTATTCCCTCTTCCAATATCAGGGAGAAGGACCTAATGTAGCACTATTGTAGCACTGGGGTCAGTTACTTCAGATCAGTCCTGTGATCAATCTAGGTTTCTATGGCTTTGTACCACAAAAGATTTACCCACTAATTCATCAAGCTGTAAATTCCATGGAATGCAGGTTGTCATTCGACATTTGAACAGGTGTGAGGTATTCTATAGCTGTACACATACATTCAGAACCATTTGTTGCTCCAAAACAATAAACTGTACTTCAGTTTTCTTCATCACTGCTACTCCATTCATCCTGGAAGATGAGGTTCTGAGAAGACCCAGCTGTAGGCTGGCAAAAAAACAGAAACATGTGTCAGTATAAAATTCATATTTTGTCATTCAAAGTGTTCAAATTTATTACTTACCTAAAATAGATATGAAATTGTTAATTCACTCATTATTAAATTTTTAATTTGTTTCTTGCAGCTTGAAACTTAGAACAATTTCAACTTTGAATAAATTATCTAAGAGTTGTACATATTCTACAACAAAAAAATTCTCCTCTTCCTTCTCCTTTATAAAAATGAGCCATCTTTCTCAGATGAATCGGCAAACTTAAAGATATCCTTATGGATGTATCAATGCTGCATCTTCACAGAATTATTGAAAAGATACAAAGAGAGATGGGGAAATTAATTCTGCAATGTTTAGGTATTCTTCCATCTCTTCAACAATCTGAAAATACTTCACCAGAGAGAAACTCCAAGCATAGACGCCGCTTAAGGCAATCTAAACAGAGACTGCAACTGAAAACCAATATCTTCAAGGCATTAAATGTTGTATGCAACACATACAGCTATTATTCAGATACCAGATTGGCCCTTGAAAAAAAAGTGCATTTTTTAAGCGAATAATTAGCCTGCACAATTGTTCTTTTTAAGTACTGATTAGAACAGCAGGGAGAATAAACTCCTTTTCTTCAAACAAGACAAAGTTCTGCACGGTAGACTGTTTGGTAAGGTTAGATCATGCAGGATCCAGGGAGAGCAAGCCAATTAGATACAAAATTAGTTTGATGGTAGGAGACAAAGTAACAATAAAGGATTGCTGTTCAGACTAGAGGCCTGTGACCAGCCGTGTGCCGAAGGATTGGTGCTGGGTCCACTGTTGTTCGTCATTTACATAAATGATTTGGATGGGAATAAGAGACAAAGTTTACTACGTTTGTGGATCGCGCCAAAGTTGGTGGTATAGTGGACAGGGAAGAAGGTTATTTAAGAGTACAACATTGTTTTGATCAACTGGGCCAGTGGGCCAAAGAATGGCAGATGGAATTTAATTTTTATTAAATGTGAGGTATTGTATTTTTGGTAAGACAAACCAGGGCAGAACTTACACAGTTAATAGTAGGACCCTGGGGAATGTTGTTGAACATAGAGATCTTGGGGTGTAGGTATATAGTCAGGATGGTGAAGAAGGCATTTAACACACTTGCCTTCATCGATCAGAACACTGAGAACAGGGGTTGGGGCATGATGTTACAGCTGTACAGGAAATTGTACAGCGTGAAGTTCTGGTTGCCCTGCAATAGGAACGATGTTATTAAACTGGAAAAGGTGCCAGAAAAGATTTACAAGCATGCTCCTGAAACTAGAGGGTTTCAGTTATAAGAGGAGGCTGTATACGGTGGGACTTTCTCTCTCTGGAGCGTAGGAAGCTGAGGGGTGACTTTATAGAGGTTTATAAAATCATGAAGGGCACAGAGAAGATGAATAGCCAAGGTCTTTTCCACAGGACAGGGGAGTTCAAAACCAGATGGCATAGGTTTAAGGTGAAACAGGAAGATGTAAAAGAGATTTTAAGTGCAACATTTGCACAGAGAGGGTGGTGTGTATATGGAACAAGCTGCTAGAGGCAAGTAAAATTACAATGTTTAAGATATTTGGACAGGCGCATGGATAGAAAAGGTTTACAGTGATAAGGGCCAAATGCAGGCAAATGGGACTAGTTCAGTTTAGAAAACCTGGTCAGCATTGACAACTTGGGCCAAAGGGTCTATTTCCGTGTTTTATGACCCTACAACTCTCTGAAGTTATTCCATGGGATGTTTCACTTCCACCTGTATTACCTAAAAGATAGCACCTTCATTGGTGCAGCACACCACCAGTGTAGGAACTTGCAGTTTATGTTTAGTTTGAATAATGCTTCTTTAAATCCATTTCCAACCGCTTAATTGGACATACCTACTCTTATTAATCTTCCTCCCTCCCTAACAAGCTTAAATGCTACAAGTTGGGGGGGGGTGGTGGGAAGGAAAGAAACTGAAATTTCAGTACCCATCTGATAATTATGCATTTTATAATTCATTCAGAGATGTGGGGGTGTTGAGTAGGTGATCATTTGTCTGTCCCTAATTACACTTGAGAAGGTGTTGATGAGCAGCAGACAAAACAAAAATGCAATAAGGGCAGATGATGAAATTTGACAACAAGTTAACTAGGAATATAAAACAAGATTGCAAGAGTGTTCTCAGATATATAGAAGGTAAGAGAGCGGCAAGAGTGGACATTGGACTACTAGAAAATGAGGCTGGAGTACACTGGGGAACAAAGAAAAGACAGAGGAATTGAACAGGTACTTTACATCAGTTTTCAGCGGAAAATGCCAGCAACATACTAGAACTTCAAGGGACTCCGGGGCAGAGCTGAGTTTAGTGGTCATCACTAAGTAGGTAATGCTGGGGAAGCGAAAAGGTCTGAAGGTGGATAAGTCACCCGGACCAGATGGCCTGTACTCCATAGTTCTGAAGGAGATAACTGCAGAGATTGCAGAGGCATTGGTGGTGATTTTTCAGGAATCACTGGAGTCAGGGAGGGTCCCAGAGAACTGGAAAATGGCTAATATAACAGCCATGTTTAAGACGGGAGAAAGGCAGAAGACAGGAAACTATTTGCCATTTATCTTGGACTTGGTTATTACTAAGATTTTATAGTCCATTAAGGAGATATTGAACAGTACTTGACAGTGCATGGTAAAATAGGGCTGAGCCAACATGGCTTTATCAAGAAGAGTTCATGACTGACAAAACTGTTAGAATTCTATGAGCGGGTAACAAGCAAGTTAGACAAAGGAGGGCCAGTGGATGTGATCTATTTTGTCAAGGTGCTACACAGGAAGCTGCTAAATAAGAGAGCATTGTGTTAGAGCCAAGGTACTGACATGGATAACAGGATTGGCAGAAGGTAGAAAATAGGGAAAAAGACAGCTGGTGACTATTGGTGTTCCACAGGCATCCGTGTTGTAATCATAACTATTCACATTATATATTTAGCTATTTGGATGAAGGAACACAGGGCATTGTTGCTCAGTTTGCAGATGACCCAAAGATGGGTGAAGGGACAGGTAGTATTGAGAAAGTAGGGGAGGCTGCAGTAGGATTTGGACAAGCCAGGACAGTAGGCTAAGAAATGGCAAACGGGAAACAATGTGGGAAGGTAAGAGGTTATGCACAATGGTAGGAAGATAGAGGCATAGACCACTTTCTAAACTGGGAAATGCACAAAGGGACTTTGGAAACCTGGTCAGGATTCTCTTAAAGTTAAGATGTAGATTCACTTGGCAGTTAGGAAGGCAAAAACAATGTTTGCATTCACTTCAAGAGGGCTAGAATAAAAGAGCAGAGATGTAATGCTGAGGCTGCTTAAGGCTCTGGTCAGAATGCATTTGGAATATTGTGAGCAGTTTTGGTCCCCATATCTAAGGAAGGATATGCTGGCATTGGAGGAGGACCACAGGAGGTTTATTAGAACGATCCCAGGGATGAAGGGCTTATCATATGAGGAGCAGTTGAAGACTCTTCGTCTGTACTCAATGGAGTTTAGAAAGATGGGAGGGGAGGGTGATCTAATTGATGACAGGCCAGGATAGAGTGGACATGGAAAAATGGTTTCCCCTAGTAGGAAAAACTAGGACTTGACAGCACAGCCTTAAAAAGTGAAGACTGAGATGAAGAGGAATTTCTTCAGCAAGGGTGTGGTCAATCCGTGGAACTCATTGCCACAGAGTGGTGTGGACGCCAAGTCACTAAGTGTATTCAAGACAGAGATATATATGTTCTTGATTAGTAACAGAATCAAAAGGTGGTGGGAAGAAGATAGGAGAATGGAGTTCAGAAACATATCAGCCATGATCGAATGGCAGAGAAGACTCGATGGGCCAAGTAGCTTAATTCTACCCTTACATCTAATGGACTATCTGACTTATGTGAACAGTATAAAATGGCTCCACCTCAGATGGTTCTATTTTGGAAAGAAAACAAAAACTGTGGATGCTGGAAATCTGAAACAAAAACAGAAATAGCTGGTAAAACTCAGCCAGTCTGGCAGCGTCTGTGGAGAGAAAAGGTAGAATCAATTTTTCATTTTCATTCCAGTGACCCTTCTTCAGAACAAAAGATTAGGGGTCTGCAGTTTCTCCAGTTCTTTTTTGGAGTCTTAACATTTTTTGACAAATTCATTGGCCAGCATTTATTGCCCATCCCCAATTGCCCAGAGGGTAACTAAGAATCAACCACATTGCTGTAGGTCTGGAGTCACATGTACACCAGACCAGGTAAGGATGGCAAATAAAAACAGAAAGAACTGCACATGCTGCAAATTAGGAACAAAAACCGAAGTTGCTGGAAAAGCTCAGCAGGTCTGGTGGCATCTGTGGAAAAAAAAATCAGGGTTAATGCTTTGGGTCCGGTGACCTTCATCTGAAATTCTGAGGAAGGGTCACTGGACCTGAAACGTTAACTCTGATTTTTTTTTTTCCCCACAGATGCTGCCAGACCTGCTGAGCTTTTCCAACAACTTCTGTTTTTGTTCCAGATAAGGATGGCAGTTCCCTTCCCTCAAGGATGTCTGTGAACCAGATGAGTTTTTCCAACAATCAATGATGGATTCATGGTCATTGTTAGACTCTTAATGCCAGATTGTTAATGAATTCAAATTCTGCCAGCAGCCATGATGGGATTCGACCCACATTTCCAGAACATGACCTGGGTTCCTGGATTAACAGTCCAGTGATAATACCACTAGGTCATTACCTACTCAGACTACTGATAATCAGTTTTAGCAATAAGAGCAACATCATATATTGTAATGAAATTCAAGTAAATATAAAGCAAGCAACTACACATTTTGTTATCTCACTAGTTGGTAAAAAGGCAGCACTAGATATGAATTTTGCCACTGTAAAAACAGCACACAAAGGGAATTTTAATATTTCTGCAAATGACTGCAGAATTGGTTTGAAAGTGATGAAAAAAGTTTATTTTCAAATGACACAAAACATTATACTTTATTTCACAATGTGTACCTTACCTGAATTGCTAAGAATTGCAAGTGTATATTTCTATGTGAAGTCACAACATAAATATACACATGCGTGACAAGAAATTGTAATGATTCAAAGAGAAGTACACGCCTCCCTTATTGGAATGCTGTCCCAGAAGCAAGATATTTTTTCATGCTACATTGGTGGAGTGAATGTCTTAACAAAAATGCATGAGAGATAACAGGAACATCCCATCAATGACAATGTCTGTCAGTTTACTTAAACAAAAACACAACTGGAAATTTGACAATAAAAAAAATCAGCAAAGTAACCAGGTATCACTTTTGAGCCTGATCCTGTATTCACACATATTTGTCAGCAGAGCCACTGAATTATTGTCATATCACTAAATTATTGTCATGAGAATTAATTTTGATTTATTGATTTTTCCTTTTGTTAACTGAGACACACTAAGTCCAACTGTAACACTGCAACTGCTTTACTGCATGAAAGCAGCAAACTGAGAAAAATACTCAAAATAAATATTGATTCTAATTTAGCTGACAACATTATCAACCATGCTTTTCACCTGTAGGTTTCTTTTTAAAAATTCACTTATGGGACAAGGGCATCGCTGAATGGTCATTATTTATTGCCGGTCACTAGTTGACCTTGAGGTGGTGGAGGTGAGTTGCCTTCTTGAATCGCTGCAGTCCGCGATTGTAGACCCACAATAATCTAGGGAGGGAATTCCAGTATTTTGACTCAGTTCCAGTGAAGGAACAGCAATATTTCCAAACTAGGTTGGTGAGTGGCGAACCGGGTAACTTGCAGGAGGTAGTATTCCCATTTATCTGCTGCCCTTGTCCTACTACATGGAAGTGGTCATGGGTTTGGATGGTGCCTAAGGATCTTTAAACAAATTTTTGCAGTGCAACTTGCAAATAGTACACATTGCTGCTACTGAGCTTGGAGGGAGTGGATGCTTGTGGACGTGGTGCAGATCAAATAGCTTGCTTTGTCCTGGGTGGTGTCAAGCTTTTTCAGTGTTGTTGGGGCTGCACTCATCCAGGCAAGTGGCGAATATTCCATCACACTCCTGATTTGTGCTTTGTAGATGATGTGCAATATATGACTCCAACTTATGTGATATATGACTCCAAGCAGCGGAGAGTTTGCCCCCAATACCCATTGATTCCAGTTTTGCTGGGGGTGCTTGGTGCCACATTTGGTGGAATGTGGCCTTGATGTCAAGGACTATCACTCTCACCACATCTCTGGAATTCAGCTCTTTTGTCCACGTTTGAACCAAGGCTGTAATGTGGTTATGAGCTGAGTGGCCCTGGCGGAACGTAAACTGGTTGTCAGTGAGCAGGTGCTGCTTGATAGCAAATGAGATCTCATTTTCTAAAAAATTTCATTCGATTTGTTCTAATTTGAATCATAGGAATGTTTCTACGTTCTTACATGAACAAGTTCCATAGTCTCTTTTGGCACCCCTCCAAATGTTTTTCTGACTGATGTAGATACATGCTCTAATTTGAGTGTATTCTTCAACGACAAGTAACATTAATTACAGTAACAAAAAGTTAAGGTTAATGGGTGTTCCTCACACTGGAGGAATCCTGAAAGCCAGGCAGCCTGGATGCCAGTGCTGGGTCCTTTCTAGTCTTTTTGTCATCAGTTTTTGGACTTGGTTGTATGGAGCACAATCTCCAAATGTTCAGATGACACAACAATAGGAAGTTTAGTAAGTATCCAAAAGAAAAATCAGCATAGTGGTTGAGGTAAATAGATGGCAAAGGCAATTGAATGACAAGAAATAGAAAGCATACACTTTATGAACACAAGGAATGGGAGCATACACTTAATGAAAACATATGAATGGTCTGAAGGTGTTCAAATACATAGAGGAATAAAAATTGTTTGCATGGCTCCACTTCCCTGGGAATTACCATAAGTCTGTGCATTACTTCCTGAATTTCTTCTCCATGGCTCCTTGAAAGTGTGCTTGCAGCTAAAGCCACAGATTTCTACATTGTATTTTCGGGGCATAGATTACAAAAGGGGAAAGTAGCAACACAAATGATTGGTTAGGATTCAACGCTGGATCACCTTTCAGTATGCTGTAACGGAATGGGCATTAAAGCCAAGTAGAACGTACAAAGAAACGTTACCAGGGAGTTAGAGGGTTAGGACAATAAAGTCATGAGGAGAGGTGTTAGCTGGTGGGACTATTTCCACAAAGCACTGAGTAGATTTTTGACAGCTTTTTAATAACATGATAATTATTCCCTTCAATTGAGGAGTCAGGGATGAGAGGTTTCATCAGTTCAAAATTGCCACAAAGAGTTTGAGGAGCATTATTAAAAGACATTTATGTAGAGCATGAAACATTTGCGAGGGACTAATTTGCATTATGAGCCAAGTGGTTAAACATTTGAAGCAAAAAATTTGGGAAAAGATTCTGGATCTGTTTTGAATTGGTCTAGGTAAAAGGCAGCACAGACGCAACATGCTTAATGACCTCTTTCTGTGGTTGAGATTTCACATTGTCGAATGAAAAGCAGTTTTATACAAGTAAAACATGCTGTATAATTTGTTTTGCTCTTACCTTGTCAGGTTCATCATTTTCCATACTTGTTCGTCCAAGATCAGGAATCCATGCTAAAATATTAACATCACTGCCACCACTATAAAGTTCCTGGAAAGGGAAAATTGGATTTAAAGAACCTCTTTGCTTATGTTGGAAGATTCTCTCTTAATAGCAGGACTATAGCAAGTTTTGAAGGGAGTGACGGAAGTCACAATTTTCCACAAAAGTAGGTGTTTTTATCATTTAAAAAATTTCAACTGTAGGAGCAATTTAAATTCAAAGTTCTCATTTCATTTTCCCTCCATGTACGACAGATGTGGAATTTCAACAAGATTTATAATGGTAAAGCACTGTGAATGTAACAAAATGCCCCAACAGCATTTAAAGTTAAAACATCAGGCCATACAAGACGACATCAGGTTCCCTTACGGGAAGGTAAGATTGTTTTTTTCTCCAGTATAAAAACTTACCTCATGGCAGCAGTGGCCCTCTTGTTTTCAGCGGCAGCAGCACGAGCCAGAGTGTCGACAGGAAGGTCAGGCGGTTTTTGTTTCTCCCTGTATAAAAACTTACCTCGTGCGGCAAGCGGCCCTCTTGTTTTCAGTGGCGGGTGTGTGGACAGAACGCGAGCCAGGAAGGAACTGATATATTCGGGCATTGGCTAAACCCGAAACACTACATGTGTAGTGTCTCCCACCCATCCTCCTCCTCTAACCAAAAAAAAAAGACTGTGTGGAGGTAGGCTTTTTTTTTATTCTTCTGGTAATCTAGAGTAGAGGGAATGGAAGCTAGGGCAGTTGCACGCTCCTCTTGCAGGATGTGGGGGGTAAGGATCACTGCTGGTGTCCCCTCTGACTTCATCTGCGAGAAGTGCATCCAACTCCAGTTCCTAAAAAACTGCGTTAGGGAAGTTGGAGCTGGATGAACTCCGGATCATTCAGGAGGCTGACGGGGTGATAGACAGGAGTTATAGGGAGGTGGTCACGCCCAAGGTACAGGAAAAAGATAGCTGGGTGACTGTCAGGAAGGGGAAAGGGAATAGGCAGACAGTGCAGGGATCCCCTGTGGCCGTTCCCCTCAATAATAAGTATACCATTCTGGATACTGTTGGGCGGGGGGGGGTGGAATCTACCAGGGGAAGGCCATAGCGGACAGGTCTCTGGCACTGCGACTGGCCCTGTGGCACAGAAGGGAAGGGGGGAGAATAGGAGAGCAATTGTAGTGAGGAATTCGATAGTAAGAGGCACAGACAGGCAGTTCTGTGGATGCAAACAAGATGAACAGATGGTATGTTGACTCCCAGATGCCAGCATCCGTGATGTCTCGGATCGTGTCTTCAAGATCCTTAAGGGGGAGGGTGAGCAAACCAGCAGTCATGGTACACATCGGTACCAATGACATAGGTAGAAAAAGGACTGAGAATGTGAAAAACGAGTACAGGGAGTTAGGTTGGAAGCTGAAGTCCAGGACAAACAGGATAATTATCTCTGGATTATTACCAGTGCCACAAGATAACGAGGTAAGAAATAGGGAGAGTGTGCAGCTAAACACGTGGCTACAACAGGGCTGGCGTAGGAGGGAGGGCTTCCATTATGTGGATTATTGGAGCACATTCTGGGGAAGGTGGGACCTGTACAGTAAGGACGGGTTGCACCTGAACCGGAAGGGCACAAATATCCTGGGAGGGAGGTTTGCTCAAGCTATACGGGATGGTTTAAACTAGATTGGCAGGGGGTGGGGAACGGGATTTATAATTCAGAGGATGAGGTATTCAGCCTTCCAACAAACACAACGGGGAGTGAGGTTGTTTATAAAGAAATGCAGTCGATGGAGCATAATTGTGGACACAGAGATGGTTTCAGGCGTGTATACTTCAATGCAAGAAGTATCAGAAATAAGGCGGATGAACTTAGAGCACGGGTGAGTACTTGGAACTACAATGCTGTGGCCATGACAGAAACTTGGGTAACTCAGGGACAGGAATGGTTGTTGGATGTTCTGGGATTTAGATGCTTTAAAAGAAATAGGGAGAGTGGAAAAAGAGGCGGGGGAGTGGCATTGCTCGTCAGGGCTAGTATAGCAGCTACTGAAAGGCAGTTTGAGAATGATATGTCTACAGAGTCAGTTTGAGTTGAGGTCCAGAACAAGAAAGGAGCAGTCACTTTGTTGTGGGTTTTTTACAGACCCCCTAACAGTTGCAGAGAAGTAGAGGAGCAGATTGGGAGGCAGATACTGGGAAGGTGCAGAAGTCACAGGGTTGTAATCATGGGTGACTTCAAATTTCCAAATATTGATCGGAAACATTTTAGTTGCAATAGTTTAGATGGAGCGGATTTTGTCCAGTGCGTTCAGGAAGGATTCCTGACACAGTATGCAGATAGACCAACACGAGAAGAGGCCATTTTGGATTTGGTGCTTGGCAATGAACCGGGCCAAGTGTTAGACCTGTTGGTAGGAGAGCATTTTAGCGGTAGCGATCATAACTCTGTTACTTTTACAATAGTCATGGAAAAGGATAGGTACATACAGCAGGGTAAGGTTTATGATTGGGGCAAGGGTAATTACAATGCTGTTAGGCAAGAACTGGGTAACATAAATTGGGAACAGATGCAGTCAGGGAAGAGCACTATTGAAATGTGGAGATTGTTTAAGGAATGCATACTGCACGTGCTCGATATGTTTGTCCCTAGCAAGCAGGGAAGATGCGGTCATGTGAGGGAGCCTTGGTTCTCAAGAGGGGTCGAAGGACTGGTTAAGAGGAAGAAGGATGCTTATGTAAGGTTTAGGAAACAAAGAACGGAAAAGGCTTTAGAGGGATACAAGTTATCCAGGAAGGAGCTGAAGAAAGGGCTTAGGAGAGCTATAAGGGGGCATGAGAAAACCTTGGCAGATAGGATCAAGGAAAACTCCAAGGCTTTTTACACGTACGTGAGGAATAAGAGAATGACCAGAGAAAGGGTAGGGCCGATCAAGGATTGTAAAGGGAATTTGTGCACGGAGCCTAAAGAGATAGGAGAGGTCCTTAATGAATACTTTTCTTCGGTATTCACAACTGAGAGGGACCTAGTTGTAGGGGAGGACAGTGTGAAACAGGCTGGTAGGCTAGAGAAGATCGATGTTAATAAGGAAGATGTGCTAGGAATTTTGAGGAAGTTGAAGATAGATAAGTCCCCCGGCTGATGGGATTTATCCAAGGATTCTATGGGAAGTGAGGGAGGAGATCGCAGGGCTTTTGGCGATGATCTTTTCATCCTCACTGTCCACGGGTATAGTGCCGGAAGATTGGAGAGAGGCAAACGTCATTCCCTTGTTCAAAAAAGGGAATAGGGATAACCCCGGAAATTACAGGCCAGTTAGTCTTATTTCAGTGGGTGGGCAAATTATTGGAAAGGGCTCTAAGAAATAGGATTTATGATCACTCGGAAATGCACAGTTTGATTCGTGACCGTCAGCATGGATTTTGTGAGGGGTAGATCATGCCTCACAAACCTTATTGAATTCTTTGAAGACGTGGCCAAACATGTGGATGAAGGTAGAGCAGTGGATGTGGTACACATGGATTTAAGTAAGGCGTTTGATAAGGTTCCCCATGGTAGGCAGAAGGTAAGGAGGCATGGGATAGGGGGAAATGTGGCAGATTCGATTCAGAATTGGCTGACCCTTAGAAGGCAAAGGGTGGTAGTGGATGGAAAATATTTAACATGGTGCTCAGTTACGAGTGGTGCACCACAAGATCTGTTCTGGGTCCTCTTCTATTTGTGATTTTTGTAAGTGATTTGAATGAAGGAGTGGAAGGGTGGATTAGCACGTTCGCGGACGATACAAAGGTGGGTCGCGTTGTGGATCGTGCAGAGGGCTGTTCTAGATTACAAAGGGACATTGATTGGATGCAGAGCTGGGCTGAGAAGTGGCAGATGGAATTTAACCCTGAAGAGTGTGAGGTGATTCATTTTGGAAGGAAAAAATTGAAAGCAGAATACAGGGTTAACGGAAAGATTCTTGGCAGTGTGGAGGAGCAGAGGGATCTTGGGGTTCATGTTCACAGTTCCCTGAAAGCTGCCATCCAGGTGGATAGAGTTGTTAAGAAGGCGCATGGTGTGTTAGCTTTCATTAATAGAGGGATTGAGTTCAAGAGCGGTCAAGTTATGCTCCAGCTATACAAAAACCTGATTCGGCCACATCTGGGGTATTGTGTCCAGTTCTGGTCACCTCATTACACGAAAGATGTGGAAGCGTTGGAAAAGGTGCAGAGGAGATTTACCAGGATGTTGCCTGGAATGGAGGGAAGGCCTTACGAGGAAAAGTTGAGAGAGCTAGGGCTTTTCTCTTTAGAACAACGAAGGATGAGAGGTGACTTGATAGAGGTGTACAAAATGATCAGAGGTATAGATAGGGTGGACAGCCAGGGACTTTTTCCTAGGATGAAGGTAGCTATTACAAGGGGGCATAGTTTTAAAGTGAGTGGAGGTGGATACAGGGGAGACGTCAGAAGTAGGTTCTTTACTCAGAGAGTGCGAGGAGTGTGGAATGCATTGCCGGAGAGGGTAGTGGAGTCGGCCTCATTAGGGGCATTTAAGCGGCTATTAGATAGGCATATGGATGATAGTATAAGTTAGGGGTGGAGGTTAGGTAGACCTTAGAATTAGGGTAAAAGATCGGCACAACACCATGGGCCAAAGGGCCTGTGCTGTTCTATGTTGTAAAAGGCCAAATGGCTGGTCAAAGAGTGAGATTTTAAGAGATGTGATAAAAAAGGAAAACAAGCAAGAGAGGCAGAGATTTGAACAGAGGAGATTGTCAATCTCAGGAATGAATACAGAAAGCGCAGAGAAACTCAGCCTCTTTGGTGGGAGATAACTCCTTAACGTTTAAAGTCAAATATGACTTTTTCAGAACAGAAGAGGGCTAGAAAAGTGATAGGTTGTTCACTTTAGGAACTTGGTAGATGAAGATGTGTGCACCAATGATGAATTGAGTAAAATCAGGGACACTCAAGAATCCAGAATGATAGGACAGCTATCTCAGATGGTTGTGGGGCTGAAGGAAATAAAGAGATAAGGAGTGGCAAAGCTATCGACAGATTTGAAACCAAGTATAAGGACATGGAA